GTGGGGGCCTCTGCCACAAGCTCCCATCCCCCCACCCGCTCTCCCAGCCCCCCACCCATGGCTGCTCCACCCAGCCCCAACTCCCGGTTCTTTAAAAAAAAAAAGCCCCACACTCACCAGTTGCTGCAGTGGCCTCAGGGCTTCTGGGGACTTGTGGCAGAGCACCCCACATGCAGCTCAGAGCAGTGGGGGGCAGCAGGGATCACCCCTCCCCTGCCTGGCAGGATCTGGTGAGTGTGGGGTTTTTGGGGGTTTTTTCAAAGAGCCAGGAGCTGGGGTTGGGAGAGCGGGCAGGGGATGGGGGCTCATGACAAACCTCTCCATGCACTGCGGTGTAGTGGGGGGCAGTGGGGACTGCACCCCCCCATCCCGACCTGGCAGCAGCTGTTGAGTGCATGGGCTTTTTAAGAGCTGGGATGCTGGATCAGAGCAGCCATTCATGGGGCTGGGAGAGCAGGATGGGGATGGGGTTTGTTCGATTCAGAGATTCAGCAGGTTCGCAGGAGCTGAATCAATTCAGGACTGTAATTCAAATCACCAAGTCAAATCACTGTCCCCCGAATCAGTTGAGTCTGAATCCGAAGCGAATACTAGCCAGTTCACAAAGGCCTGCAGTCTGTCACCTTCTAGGTGGCAGACTATATCACCCTAGAGAGTTGACAGGCAGGGAAGGCCTGCTCTGCAGCCTCACATCCATGAGGATTTCTATGCTGTTCCCTCCCACAGCTGGGTACTAAGCACCTCAGAAAAGGGAGGGGTGATACTTTACCCAACCAATGCAATGTGATGACACAGTTGAGTGGCTGGCAAGTGCTCAGGTGAACAAGACCCTCCTGTCATTGCTCCCAAACAGTGTCCCACATACACTGTTCTCACTTGCTTAACAACAAACGCTGGGTCCCAAACAACCAAACGGGCAATACGTAGGTTGTACACACAGGTACACATGCACCTCCTGAGCATGGCAGTGCACCTCCCTACAAAAAGGCACCACCGAGAAGGTCAGTGGCAGTCACTACTCGCCACCCCACCACTGATAACACCAGCGGCATCTGCAGGCAGTCCACAATCCCCAGTGGCCACCAATGACGCTGCCAGCAGCAGCTGTGGGTGGTCGCTGACCCTTGGTCAGCGCTCACCATCCCCACCACCACCACTGACAGCACCAGCAGCATCTGCGGGAGCTCCTCCACTTACCACCACTGCACTCCCACCACTCCTGCTGCCACCACCACACTCCCGCCATGCCCCCCCTGTTGCCGGGGGCATGCATCATTCATGCAACCAACACAACTCAAATGCATAGTCAATTGTATGCGAGTTATATTCAAGCTCAGGTCACACACACCAATCAAAGAGGGAGATAGCATGAGACACAGCAAGTCTCAGCGAGCTCCAACCCCATTGACGATGACCCCAAAAAGCTGCCCCGACCCCTACAATGGACAGGCTTTATAATTTCCAAATCGCACCACCTGTCAATCATGCCCACTATGAGACAGGAAGGTCCGGGTGAGGGAGATTCCCTGTCCTCCATCAATGCTGACCTCATGAAGGAACACCTTGAGAGGCTGGATACCTTCAAGTCAGCTGGCCCTGACACTACACCACAGGATCCTCAAGGAGCTGGCAGGTATCATAGCCCAGCCTCTGGCACAGATTTTTGAGAACTCCCGGTGCTCTGGTGTAGTGCCTGAAGACTGGAAGAAGGCCAATGTGGTACCTATCTTCAAGAAAGGGAGGAAAGTGGATCTGGCAAACTATAGGCTCATCAGCCTGACCTCTATCCTGGGGAAGGTCTTAGAAAAGTTTGTTAAAGAGGCCATTCTTAATGGACTGGCCGACACCAACATCCTGAGGGATAGCCAGCATGGGTTTGTTGAGGGTAGGTCTTGTTTGACCAAGCTCATTTCCTTTTATGACCAAGTGACCTATCACCTGGACAAGGGAGAAGAGATTAATGTCATATATCCTGACTTCCAAAAAGCCTTCAATCTGGTATCCCATGATCACCTCTTGGTGAAACTGGCCAATTGTGGCCTTGGGTCCACCACGATCCGCTGGCTGGGAAATTGGCTCCGTGGTCAGACCCAGAGTGTGGTAATTGACGGAAGACAATCGTCACGGTGCCCTGTGACCAGTGGGGTCCCTCAAGGCTCTGTCCTTGGACCCATATTGTTCAACATCTTCATTAATGACGTGGACATTGGAGTCAGAAGCAGACTGGCCAAGTTCACCGATGACACCAAACTTTGGGGCAAAACATCCACACCTGAAGATAGGAGGGCAATCCAGGCTGACCTGGACAGGCTCAGCAAATGGGCAGATGAGAACCTGATGGTGTTTAACACTGAAAAATGCAATTTTCTCCACCTTGGGAAGAAAAACCCGCAGCATCCTTATAGGCTCGGCAATGCCACACTCGCTAGCACTATGGAAGAAAGAGACTTGGGGGTCATCATTGACCGCAAGATGAACATGAGCCTGCAATGCGATGCTGTGGCTAGCAAGCAACCAAAATGCTGGCTTGCATCCATAGATGCTTCTCAAGCAAATCCTGGGATGTCATTTTTCCCTTTGTACTCGGCCTTGGTGAGGCCACAGCTGGAGTACTGTGTCCAGTTTTGGGCCCCACAATTCAAAAAGGATGTGGAGAAGCTTGAGAGAGTCCACAGAAGAGCCACATGCATAATCAGAGGTCAGGAAAACAGACCTTATGATGACAGGCTGAGAGCTATGGGGTTCTTTAGCCTGGAAAGCACAGGCTCAGGGGTGATCTGATGGATACCTATAAGTTTATCAGGGGTGACCACCAGTATCTGGGGGAACGTTTGTTCACCAGAGCACCCCAAGGGATGACAAGGTCGAATGGCTATAAACTACTACAAGACGGTTTCAGGCTGGACATAAGGAAGAATTTCTTTACTGTTCGAGCCCCCAAAGTCTGGAATAGCCTGCCATTAGAGGTGGTTCAAGCACCTACATTGAACACCTTCAAGAAAACCTGAATGTTTATCTTGCTGGGATCCTATGACCCCAGCTGACTTCCTGCCTTCGGGCTGGGGGCTGGCTCCATGATCTTTCAAGGTCCTTTCCAGCCCTAATGTCTATGAATCTATGAGTCTATGTGGAGATCTAGTCAATACTCTGTCATCAATGTCAATCAAAGTCAATCACAGCTAGGACCATACAAATCAAACCATCACAACAACCCATAATAACTCATTAGCATAACAGTCCTAACTGCCATGTTCCCTTGGGCACCAAGCAAACAACTCACTGCACATACTCAGCTTTTAAAAGCAGGTCATGACATCATTAAGGCTGGGACTTCAGATGTTCTAGAAGACTCCAACCTCTACTCATCCTACACATATGTAAACACACCAGGACTCCACTGTCTACACCAGAAGCCTCACAAAGATCAGCAGCTGCAGATCTTGGTGCTCAGACACAGGAATCTTGTTGATGCTCTCCATAGCAATGGGATGTGGTGGTTCCTGAGCAGGAGAAGAAGGGAGTCAACCATTGATGGAATGTGTGGAGGGAAGGGTTATGAACAATGTATTTGACTCAGTTTCCCTCACAGGTGATATTGTAAAAGAACTCCTCTGGGACAGGAGGGTATGGGACGGATGGGATACACTTATTCAATAGCTATCTGAGGAGATAAGAAGCTGTTATCACTGACCTTACATGAATGGGGGAACCCCCAAAACACCACTGTGGTGGCTGGAGCTGCTCACAGGGGTCAGAGGCATTGGGTGCAGACCCTGGCACTCCCAAAGGCAGCCCCAGGGACCCCAATACCACAGGGAACTTACCCAGGAGGGAGCCAGAACCAGAGCTAGAGCCATCCGAGCTGGCACTGCACCAACTTTTCAAGCACCTGGCAATTAGGCGGGTCAGTGGCCAGCTGATGATGTCAGCCATTCCCACCATGGCAGGAGATTTAAAAGCCCCAGAAGAAACCAGGTATGAGGGAAGCCAGTGGGGGAGACAACTAGCTCACTGGGGTGGGCCCCAGCCAGCACAGGCTCCCCACAACACTGACCTGCCAGAGGAGGGCAGGACCAGCATGGGGAAGATAGAACACACTTCCCCATGCACAGCACCCAGTGGAGGGCTCTATCCCAGCTTTGGGAGCTCAGAGTCTCTGCAGCCATCCTCAACCCAGAGAAGGGATGGAGCAGGGTCAAGAAGCAGGGATGAGTCCCAGGCTGAAACCATAAGCCTGCACTCTCCCCTGAGACTGACAGGGTGAGGCCCAATGAGAGACCACAAGGAGCCGGAACCCGTAATTAGGAATGGAGGCCCAATAGCCCGCACAGTGGGTGAGTGGACCGGAGTGTAGGGGAGGAGTCCCAGCACCAGCGGCACTGACCCCATGAGTATTAGTGTCCCCGGGGGCAGCGCAGGAACACAACTGAACCCCTCCTTCAAGTACATTTCCATCAAGTCATGGCAGGTGAGTCGGGGTGCCTGGCCCAGGGAGCAGGAGATACTCCCACCACCATCTGGGGATTTCACAACCATGGACACTTATTCAGGTAGAACCAGGTTCACTCTTCTCCAAACTCCACATGATACTGGGTGCGTCTACATGTGCACATTTACTGTGCAGTAACCAAAATTATTGCGCTGTACAAGCATAAATCTACATGTGCATGCCCATACCGCACAGTAAATATGGTGATTTATGCTGACTTGAGCGTAAATTTGATACTTGCACCATGCAGGCATCAAATTTACACCTGATCAGTTAATGCACAGTAACACATGTGTAGACATCTTACTGTGCAGCAACACTGTGTGTATGGACTGACTTGGGACTAACTTTAGCCCTAAGGCAGTCTACACACAACATTAATGTGCGGGTGTTAGAGCGCATGTATATGCCGGCCTATTCTCACTGTGCAGTAAATTTAAGCCATCATAGACATACACATGCTCACTGTGGGCTTATTTTCATTAGGGGAACAAAATTTGTTAAACAATTCAATGACAATGACATTTTCCACTTTTCTTTTGAAAATTAGCAGGTGTTTTTCAGCCACCCACTATCGTTGAGGCAAGGTTGGTTGGTTTTGTCTAGACACATAAAAACCACCATAAGCTATCTTCAGTCACCATCAGCAGGGGCAGGCAACTGAGCTAGATCCAGGGCCTATGAGAGGTGAGACCTGGAGGTACAGTTGTACCAAGGCTCTAAACTCAGGGGTTCCCCCAAAATCAGATCACTCTTTC